ACCTATCTATCTCCTATTAGATCCATAATTAAATTTATTTAATAACAGGCCATAACATTGCCTTTTTGGTGGGTACAAGGCTGGGCTCTCAGGCTCTCATTTTAACTGACATTTTATATATGATTTTCCATTTAAACAAAACTGATTGACAACAGTGGTGACCTTGGCTCTTTATAACAGCCAATAGTTACTGCCTCTTACTGTGTGCCCCACACTGCTCTAAACACTTAGCATGGATTTACTACATTAATTGTCACAACAAATTCCTAGCTGTGTGATCTGGGGCAAGTTACTCATTGAGCAAACTACTCTCAGTCCCTCTGCTGCAGTTTCAGGAAGAAACTGAGGCTTAGAAGGTTAAGTAATTTGCTGATGTTCACTCAGTTAATGCAAAGAAGAGCTAGGGCTTGATCTCAGCAGGTGGGCACTGGGGATGGTATCTTCACCACCACCAGAGATTGACTGCCTCTGGGATCCCCAGCAATCACTAACTAGAGACAGACAGAACCAGACATTCCCAAAGGTGCCTAATGACATTCACAGACTCCCTTACTTGCTCTACAAAATTGTTCTAAAATTGAAATATGGAAATGATAATAAGTAAGAAATGCATGAATTGTTTTCCATCATAATCTTTGAGACTCAACTTTTCAACCTCAAGGACTATAAACTTCTTTGAAAGGCAATCCAAAGCTTGCTAACAACTTTCTAAAAGACAGTTCTGATGAGTCAATATTCTTAAAAACATTTCTGTCTTTACAGCTAAGATATGACTGAAAAAAAGGTGAAAAATCTCCAATTAAATGAACACTATAACCAAAAAAATAGGCACAAGTTGATTAAAGATGGAGAGCTGTATTTTGAAGATAGTTTCTGAAAGGCAAGCAAATGTAGATTTACCCAGTTCTTAAAGAAAGATTTCAAAAGAACCTTAAAAGACAATCTGGCATCTGAAATTCTGCACCAAGGTGCCAACCCACCTACTTTGTGCCTTTGTATGAGGAGTGAGAGAGGCAGAGCATGCCACTTCAGTGAGGCTTATGTTTATGAGAAGCACATGGGCTTTTAGAGCCAGATAGATCTAGACTTGAGTCCCTCTGCTGCAGTTTTCAAGGAATGTGCTCTTGAAAATAACTTAAACTCACAAGCCTCAGTTTCTGCATCTGCTAAGAAGGGATAACCACCTCCTTACAAGGTTATTGTGAACATCACAGATAATGTGCTAACATGCTTGGTACATCATAGGCTCTCAATAAAATTATAGGTAATAACAACAAGAAGAATGAATGGTGTTAAGAATTAAAAACATAGAACCTAAGAGCAGAGACAGTGTGATGGTTAAGACCATGGTTTCATCCTAGATTTCCTTTCCTCGATAGAATTCACTTCTCATTGAGCAAACTACTCTCAGTTTACCTCTTTTTCTCTCATAATGTCACATCTCTAAGGCTCTGCTTTGGTATCTCAGGCTCTTTATTGGAGCCGGTTACTTAACATCTCTCCGTACCAGTTACCACAGCTAGAAAATGGGGCTAAGGACAGTATCTCCCTCAAACGCTCGTAGTGAGAATAAAGGAGCCCCCTGCACAGAGCTGGGAGCCATGCCCGCCCCCTACCCGCCGCGGGAACTCGCTAGTGGGGGCTCTCGCCCTGCGTCGTCGTGGTGCGAAGGGCCCTACGGAACTGTGACCGACCACCAGGAGAAACTGCCTACCCATGGTGTGGGTTAAAAGATTGAAACTAGAAGCGTATGAAAACTCCCAAGGACGGTAAGACAGCGTTTCGGATTAATGGCTGGCAGAGCATAACATGAGAAGTTATCTCAAGGGCAAAATCAAAATTAGATGGCAGATTACAAGGAGACAAACCGATTACCTGGTAATCCCACTGGGGATCCAGGGTTTCACTGTAAAAGGAGTTGGGGAACGTCACTTTTGAAACTCAAAGCCAAAAAACAAACACAACAAAAACCAGTGAAGAAAGAGGCAAAGGGAATACATGTTGCCTTCCTTCTTTCCTCAGAACATGTTGTTATTTCTTCCCCCCTGTGCCCTGTCATATTTTTAGATCCCTTCTACAAAGGTCAGAAAAGATGCACTAATCCCATGGTGTCACTTCCCAACATACTACTGAAAGAGTTCAGCCACCTCGCAGATGTAATGACGAAGGATTGCTGCACCCATAAACCATCCAAGAAACAGCTACCCAACCAGAGCACTCCAAATTGCAAAGATATCACATAATCTGGCTGCCTTGGGTGTGGCTCTTAGAGGAGGATGGAGAGGCTGGGATCCAAAGTGCTGTCTCCAGCATCTCACGGATTAGAACGATGCCACCTGAAGCAGGGGTGAAGAGCAGGGCACCCTCAACTGCTGTCCATACTCCAAGCCTTCCAACTCACCCATGTTCTCGCATGGGGTCGGAAAATGGGGCAACAAGACAGCCAAGACCCTCTGGCTCTCCAGAAAAAGCAGTAGGGATGAGCTGGAAGGCCCATTTCATGGTATGGGGTGAGGAAACCAGAGGCATGTTTTTTAATAGTCTTGTGTGGCTACAGCTCACTCCTCAAGAACAGTAACTCAGCAACCACTTCATTATGTTTCTACTGTAAATGATATGGGCCTGAGCCAAGTCCACCCCAAAACACTCTCCAGAATTCAGCTATGGTTAGGTCATCCACAGCCTACTGACAACTGCTGAACTCAAAACCCCTAACGAGGCATCTCAGCAACAGCATGCATGCTGCCACTGATGAGGCTCTTTTTCCATGAATAATGAGTAAGAACATCATCTCTGTTGCCAGGTACACAACATAAACAAAGCTCAACACAAGGGCCTTGGTATGGTGAGTTTGTCCATTTGCAACAAAGGAATTTTGCAAAGTGAGAGCCAAGTTTTAGTGGAGGGTGGGACAGGCTGTTATAACAATGTGAACATATGTTATCAGAATCTAATAAATCAGCGTTTGGTTGTTGGGGAACAGAGGCCATGCAATGGGATAGACAGAGACAACAGAAAGTTCCAAGTGAGTTCATTTCTTTATTTTACAATCAGTCTTATAACATAAAGCTGATGATTTCTGTAATGAACTGAGATGTTCATGAAAGGAGCCTTTTGAGATTTGAGAGCCCAAAGGCTCTATCGGTTAAATCTTTTTTCTTAGCCTTGACGTATCAGGTTGAATACAGGTCAGAACTGGGGATGAGAATACTGGGACCCTGTTATGGTGCTGATGGGTTCAGGGTGGCATTTGGAAAACCACCTGTCTGCCTGAGCCCATGTGTCTGGGACTAGGCTCCTTCAGTACTGAAGGGCCCTCACTGTATGAGCACTTTGCCTATTATAAGGTAAGTCTCATGGCTTAGACCCCCGAGGTCAGCCAAATAGTGAGACTCCAGTGTATAAACAGAGAACAAAAGTGAGCTGACATGAAGGCCAAACAGTCTTTATTGTGTTTACTATAAAGTGCACCACAAATACTTTTCTCTTTTTCTAAAATCAGTACCATACTAGGTAACATATATCATGTTACACAGGGTGCTCATGTTTGCACAGGCCAAGTGATGCCATCACTGGCTGAGGGCTTTTAGTTTCCATCAGTTTCAGCAAGAATTAACAACAAAACAAAAATAGTCTTACGATACCTCAGTTCCCCCATCTATAAGGGAGAACAACTCCAAACTACTCCAGAGAGTCTTTATGAAGAACTGTGTGTCAAAAATGACTCAAATAGTATAGTTTGCACTATATGTTTGATGAATTTCTAGAAATTTTGACCTAAATAACTGTCTAAATGCACTAAAGATACTTACTAAAGAAAGAGCATTTTAATTTTTTTTAATTAAGGTATTATTGATACACACTCCCATGAAGGTTTCACATGAAAAAACAATGCGGCTACTACATTTATCCACACCATCAAGTCCCTGCCCATACCCCAATGCAGGCACCGTCCATCAGTGTAGCAAGATGCCACAGATTCACTACTTGCCCTCTCCGTGCTACACTGTTTTCCCCGTGATCCCCCACACCATGTGTACTAAACATAATATCCCTCAATCCCCTTCTCCCTCCCTCTCTACTCACCCTCCCACACCTCTCTCCTTTAGTAACCACTAGTTCCTTAAAGAAAGAGCATTTTATAAAGTAAAAAAATCATCACACAATATAAGTAATCACCCCCTAATATTCATTTTATAACCAAACATGTTTACATTGGGGAGTAAGTTAATGAAATAGGCAAAATAGTATGAAATTCTTCAGATTCTAGTAGCTAGGTCATGGCAAGTAATTACATGGACAATTCTTACACGATTACTCAAAGAGCAAATTCTCAGACAACGGCAACATGAACTGAAAAGATTTCAAAGCTTTAGGACATGTTGGTTTATTTCTCTGGTTTATTAAGAACAGGCAAAATGAAATAAGTTAGTAACCAGACCTGTGGGTGAATAACCAGAATGGCTAAGAGACTTGAAAGCCTCTGAAGTGAAGAAATGGGGGGGAGGGAGGCATATAATGAGAAGGCCCGGGGTGAAGGGACATGATTTTGATCTTCAAGTATTTATTGAGCTGTCACAAGGGCTGTAGCACGGGCTCCTAGCTGTTTCATGTTGCCTCAATGGGCCAACATGCCCAACGGGAAGTGGTCAGCACCCACCGATGTGGGGTCAGAGCAGGAGTTCAGACAGTCAGTGCTGTCCCAGCAGTGCCTGCAGAAGGGCCAAGAGATTCCTGGCCATGGAGGCAATAAAGCAGAGCGCACATGACTCTTGTTGGCAGAGGAGGAGAGGACTCAACCACTTGGCATTTCTGGCCCCCATTAACTGTTCAATTCTAAGATTCTATAAAAATGCCCTCCCTAAAACCGTAGGTGAAAATTCCATAAATGGATAATTATAAAAGTGCTGTGCTATTTGAAATGATTCTTCCAATCTAATCATTGAGGTACACCAAGAAGAGAGGAATACTCCAGTAGATAAAAATGCCCAAGAACTTACCATCATACTTTGCTAAGACTGCCTGAACATCAGCATAGGCTTGTAGCTCCAGAAGGGCTTCTAGAAGGTTTTCGTGGATATTGAACATGCTCAGCAAGGGGAACTCCTTCATTAACTAGGAAAAAAGAAACAAAGGTATAATTAATATATAGTTCTTATTTTTTTGAAGTATAACTAATACTGAGTTGCAATATATTTATGTCATATAGTATACTTTTAGAAGTACAGTTCATACTGAATTACAAGCATTTATACCAATTTTATAAAGCATTAAATGCTTAAACTTTTTCCTGCTATTTTTGAAAAATGTCAACTTTGAATTTGTAAGAACTCAAGGTGGGAGTAAATCCAAAAGAGGGGGGTTTCATAAAAACTGTGGTGGTGGTGCTCAGTAATGTTAAAATACCATAGAAGCCAAATAAAGTAAAGGTTGAAAACTACTGCATAGGTATTAACAGTGTAACTTCAGGAAGCAGTTTGAAAATAATAGAAAGGTAAGCAAGTAGGCAACAGTCTTTCAAGCAGTTTTGTAACAAAGTTAAAGTAAAAAGTGAGAAAATAACTAGAAGGTGACATGCGTTGAGAAAATTAGTAGGTAGTGATAGAGTGAGCAGTAGAATAGAAGTGGATGTTCAGAACTTCCTGCCTAGTGGCCTCAATAAAACAGGAGTCTAGGTCATGTTCTGAGATTAAGGGAATAGGTGATGGGGGCAAAATTTGAAGATGGGGGTGAAAGTGTAGCATTGCCACAAAGGGAAGAATTGCTTGGGACACAATCAAGAATCATTAAGGCCATCTTGAAAGCCTAAGAAGTTGGAGACCATGAATTTACAGAGGCTACAATGGTGTGTTTATCAAGTTTTAGGTATCAGTGCTCAGAAGCCCAGGCACTGTTGCAAAGATGTCAAATGACTAGGTAGAGCCTGGGCAGACTGAATTAGACTTAGTGAAAAGCCAAGGAGAAAGAAGAGTTAACGAGAATGGGGAAAGAATGGTTAAGAGACTGGCCTAAAAGCTCTCAACAGGATGGGAAGAGAAGTCCAAAGGGAGTTAAAAAATACAATACTAAACATCAATAGAAAGCAATGAAAAAGAAGAATGGGCCAGGTATTTCAGAGTAAAATCTTATTTTAAATAAAGGTATATCTCATGTTAACAGAAAGATAACCAGGATTTTAAAAATCAAAATCATTAAAATAGATGATTTTTCCCAACTGTAGGCTACATATATATATATACATATATAGTAAGTTGGAAAGATCCTAAGTCAGAAATGCATTTAACACACCTAATTTTTTGAACATCATACTAGCCTGCCTACCTTAATCATGCTCAGAACACTTACATTAGCCTACAATTGGGAAAAGTCATCTAACACAAAGCCTACTTTATAATTAAGTGTTGGGTAGCTAATGCTTTTATTGAATGTTGTACAGTGAAAAGTAGAAAGGTAGTATGTGTACAGAATGGTTTTAAGTGTATCAGTTGTTCACCCTCCTGATACAGCTCCTGGCTGGCTGGGAGCTGCAGCCCAGCATCATGAGAGAAGATCACACAGCATATGGGTAGCCCGAGAAAAGATCAAAATTAAAAATTTGAAGTATGGTTTCTACTGAATCAATTTTGCACCATGACCAAGTAGAAAAACTGCAAGTCGAAACTTGGTAAGTGGGGGACTGTCTGTGTATGTGTACATCCTCTATTTAATCTCCTACATGGATAGCTGATTTCTGTTATAGCACTATGACCTCTTAAAAAGTGGTAACCCTTTTTTGATGTTAACATCCTAAGGCAATTGTTCTGAGAGAAATAATACTCAAAAATAGGCTAATTCACTGTTAGGCAAGGAACCAGTGATTACGTTACATTGACTATCTGTTTCTTCCTATGTCGGAAATAATTTGCCATATTGTTTTGTTTTTTTAAAGCCAAGAATCATTTAGCGTATCTCTAAACATATATGATTTTCTGCAGCTCCAAAGAGTATCATATTACCAACAAAAAACACCTATCAAAATGATTGTGCTCAGTAAGACTGTCCACAACCCCTAGAGACAGCCTGCAATATTTTCATTGCTAGTAAAGGAAGCAAATGAGACTATATCACACACTGTTGGTGTTCTGTAACCAATAAAAGTATTTCTTGTTCTGGTTCACTTTGATTCTGGTTGACATCACCCGTTGATTTTTTTTCTCCTTCTAATTAGAGCTTGGTAGAATTAAAGCTTTCTGTCATTCAGCATTTGGCAACACAATAAAGACATTCTCTAAACTGCAACATTTAAACATTTAGCATTTTTGACCAATTCTTCAGGTAAAGGTCAGACTTGAAGGACACAATTCACATTCTGTTATTTTAAAACTACAACTCCGAATATTAGAATGCTGAGGCTTAGAAACTTAGAGGGGAGTCTTATTAAAATCCAATGAGACAACGTGAGCTAACATGGGGGTCTCAGCTTGTTTTAGCAGAACTTAAGATGCTAGGAGTCTGGGCAGCAGTGCTTTCACTGGAAGTTTCTACAGAGTACACCATGTCCAAAAAATACCAACAAAATGATTTTAAACATGGCAAACAGCAAATGTTGGTAATCATAGTCATACGACAATTTGGAAATCTCATTTTCTTTGTTCAGTGTAAACAAGATGAAAAGGTGAACCTTCCACTGCCCCACCTCGCTCCAGCCATCACCAGGCCCTCTCCAGCCTGTCACCATAGGCCACCTTAGCAAGAAGCCACTAACACTTTACTCCTCGGCTCCCTTTACTCCTTGGTGCACAGCTACCATCTGGCTCCCAGCCCAATTCCTTTGAATCTGCTCATCCCATATTTACAGGTGACTCAGTTGCTTCCGTGGACACCCTCCAGTCCTTTCCTTGCTTGACCTCTGAAACATGTGACAGTTTGATGACTTTTTCCTTAAAACCCTTGTCTCTCTTAGCTTCCTCAACACCATTCTCACCTGGTTTTCTTCATACTTACCTTCTAGCTCCTTCTTTTGTCTCCCCCTTGCCTGCTGCTTTGGAGTAAGTAGTCTCCCTGGTTATACACTAAGTACTCTTAGGCCCTGCTCTCTAGGACTCCTTCCATGCCCAGGGTCTCAATGCCACCACCTTTGTGGGGGTGTGGCTCCCGTATCCTCACATTCTGCTCTGATCTCTCTCCTAAGCTATTAGATCAACTTATAAACCATCTCCCTGACAGTGTTCCTGATCCACTTAATACTGGACTTATAAATTCCTCCTCTCGAAGCCAACATTTCAAACCTGTCCTCCCCGCCCCCCTGGTATTTCCTATCTCAGAAAAGAGAATCATTAACTACAGGCACCTCAGAGGTGAATTAATATGTAGAAAATGCTTTCATCAAGTTCACAGAAAGCTGTCATGCACACAAACAACAAACAAGCAAACATCTTAAGCATCATCCCATCTCTTTTCTCTGACCTTGCTGCCAATAACTTGGTTTACACTCTCATACTACACCTAAGTTGCTGAAATAACATCTTTTCTTTGCTTGTCTTTGGAACACCTCTTTCCAATCCACCCTTCACACTGCTGTCATAATGACTTTCCAAATATACACACGAGTCCATCCTGCCACTGCTTAAAAGGTAACCACTGACAAGGCTAGACTCACCCCAAAGAAATAGGCAAATACAAATACAAATTTACAAACAAGCCTGTTTATCGCAACATTATTTATAATAATGAAAAATGCAAGCAAGTTAAAATTTAACCCGTTAGGATGCATTTAAGTGTAACATATAGTCATCTTTTGAGCTACTATTTGTAGTCACTAGTAGTTAAATTTTCAAATAATTTTAAATGGCATGGCCTGGGAAATGCTGACACACAATGTTACATTAGTGAAAAAAAGGATACAAATTATATTTTGCAATAAAATCATGCTTCACTTTTGCATCTATGCTCAGAAACCCACACTTGGTTAGTAATATACAAAATGCTTTAACAGTGGTTACTTCTGGTTAGTGATATTAAAGGTGATTTTTATTTCTTCCTTCATATTCTCCATATATTCTAATATATTTTAAAAGAGTATATATACATTCCATAACATTCTATAATTTGGGGGAGGAAAAACTATTTTTAAGAATATTTGTTCCTCATCAAATTCAGGATATAATATCCACAGTCCTTCATG